TTCACTGATCTTGCTTCTCGTTTGGGGGCATTATGACTTCCATATGGCAGTTTTAAATTTCTACCTCGGTTTTTTGTAAAGAACTAACCACTAGGACTTTTTGGAGTTTGTAAGACTTGTGGAGACATTTCTCCCAGATTTATGAAATTTGATTTTGGAATTATTTATTCCCTTTGTGTTATGAGCAAAGACATAAATGACAAACCGATTATTTCAGTCTACTAAATTTGTGCTGAGATCTTTTCTCCGAATGATGAATGCCTTTAGACAGATAAAGGCATCTCATACATTACCACTCAATTGTCCCTAAGCTGCAGCGATAGCAGATACAAGGAATTAAACAATTGGCTTTACGTGAGCAGACCATGAACACTTTGTGTCGAATAATGACTCGCAGCTCATGACAGATTTTGTTTCTTGTATTCATGTCTACCATCGAAGTATATATGCCACGAGAACAATTACAAACGGGTTTCTGAGCTTTAACAGGAATGAGCAGCAGAGATGTTATGTACCACACAAGAGTGTTAGTTTAGTTTGTACAGCAGAGAAATATTTCTATTTTGATTCGGGATGCCAAAAGAGCTCCTGTTTCCACAGCTTTTAGCATGTGAATTAGATATTCTAATACAATTGGACTGAACCTCATATCACTGGAAAATATGTTGGTAGCGGTCTGCATATGATGAGATCATTGCAGGAGCTCCACTTGAAATTTGTCATATTCATTGATATCTCGATGCAGCAAAAACGTATTCACCGATTTTTCATATTTGCCTAACTTGTCGATTATGCAAGACGTTACTCGTTTCAATGCTTTTCTCAAGCGTCTTTCTTTCTAATGGGATCTAGTCAAGCTCCACAAGTTGGCTCCATAATATTTTCACCTCCTTCATCAACCAAAATGTCTTCTATGTTCCTTTGCTAGCTTAAGTGTTTTCCGTGTTCTATCTATGGGTGGTGTTTGCAGTCCTCTACCAGGTACCATTCCTTTTATTCATGGCACCTATGTATCTCAGGAAACATTGAAGAAGAAAAATGCATTGGCCATATGTCCCTCTAAAATTCAAACCTTTTATTTGGCCAAAACTTCAAGACAAAACCATGTGATTTTGGATACATAGTRGCTTGCTCATCATTCCACTTAATTATATCTATATACATGACACATCATGGGGTCTCCTAGTTTTAAGACAACCGAGAGATTTTAATGATTTTTTTTCTGTTTGTTAGGAAGCATAACCACATTACATTTAAAGTACATGGGGCCAAGGATTTGGTATCATTCTTGACCTCATTCTTAGTTTAGAATTGTGGCCATACAAGTCATCATCTATGTCTAACCCTTCCTGTATCCTACACTCCAAATGCAGATCTCAGAAATAATTAGAAAATATGCTCGGTGATCTTATGGTTGACAAGAAATGTTGTTCTTTCATGCAAGTTGGAAGACACAACCACATGATATTTCGCAATTCTGTCTCAGCGTCTCCATCTGCCATTTAATGCCCCTTTTATTACCAATCGTACATTTGAAGCTTCAAAAAATCAAATATTTAATGCTCTTTCTATTACCAATCGTACATTCAGATTCTTTTACCTCCTTCATCAACATCAAGAAAATAGCTATTTGCATGCCTCGGATCATTCGAGCAAAGCAATGATCTTTGTCGAATGGAACCCGTACAGCAACAACTAAGGAGGTACCAAAAGGGTACGTATATTCGCGGTTTATGTCATAGAGAAGCAAGAAAAGAAGAGATTTGGGATCCCTGTATCTTTGTTAAGACAACCATCATTTCAAGGCTTACTACGTCAAGCAGAGGAAGAGTTTGGTTATGTTTCTTCTTGTATAAATTAGAGAGTTTGTGTACAATAATCCAACAAGAAACGAACAAGTTCGGGTCATACATATTCCTACTACCTTACAATATGCTTACATCTTCACTAAGGGTCTCCCTTCCTCTCTATTTTCGGAGTTCCGGTCCAGTCTCAATGTTCGCCCTTCTCCCACTTCGTCTGTGGGGGTGTGTTTGTAGATAAATAAATATATAAAATATTTGTTTATATTTGGTTTATATTTTCCTTTCGTTGTTTATATAGTCTTAGGTTTTGTTGTGATCTCTATATATTCTCTTTCGAAATACATGTCAAGCAAGCATGTTCTCTAATTCACGCTTAGCTCATAACACGATCGGCATATGTAAATCCTAAATCAAATTTCATAAAACTGGGACAATCTGTCATGAGCTGCGAGTCATTATTCGACACATAGTGTTCATGGTCTGATCACGTAAAGCCAACTGTTTGATTCCTTGTATCTGCTATCGCTGCAGCTTAGGAACGATCGAGTGGTAATGTATGAGATGCCTTTATCTTTCTAAGGGCATTCATCATTCAGAGAAAAGATCTGATCACAAATTTAGTAGACTGTAATCGGTTCGTCATTTATGTGTTAGCTCATAACACAAAGGGAATAAATAATTCCAAAATCAAATTTCATAAATCTGGGAGAAATGTCTCCACAAGTCTTACAAACTCCAAAAATTCCTAGTGGTTAGTTCTTTACAAAAAACCGAGGTAGAAATTTAAAACTGCTAGGTACAAGTCATAATGCCCCCAAACGAGAAGCCAGATCGGTGAATATGTCTTCGCTGCAAGGAACGGTGAGGCCACCCATCGGATGGTTGTACCCAAATTCTTCCTCTGCCCGATATAATAATTCTTGAAATGCAGGTTGGCTTAACAATGATACTGGAACCACAAATCTCTTCTTCTCTTGTTCACCAACATAAACAGCAAAATGACCTTTAGGGACGGCCATGTATGTATTGCTGCTTCCATTTGACAGCGATCGTCGGAGAATCTGTTTTGCTTGAATGATCCGAGGCATAAGTATAGCCATTTTTCCAAGGAGGGCAGAGTCTGCTGCGTTCTAAAGGCCGATGAAGGAAGGAAATGCTCAACCTAAATTTTGGTGAAGTATGTTGTTGTGGTTGTGTTTATGTGTTTATGCATATGGAATGGTTTATATAGCTAACCGATACACGGAGAGGTAGATGAGAACTCATGACATATGGTGTAGCTAAAAAGCAATATCACATGGTTTTGTCTTCCAACTTGTAAAGAAAAAGAATTCTCTTCAGATAAAAAAGAAAATATAGTTATGGCTCTACCCAACACCATGGTCCCATGCATGAGGCTTATATCTACAAATGACTAGTTAGCCAT